GGGGGGGGAAAAGCCCAGCCCTCCCTCCGGCGGCACATGGCAGCGGGGCGCGCAAACCCCGCGCAGGTCAGGCAGCTCCGCGCCGCCGCTTAAAGCGCGCTGAAAAGGCGGCGTAGTGCGGGTTTCGGCGGGTCCGAGGCGAGGAGTTAAAAATGCATCTGGGGTCGTGGCTCCTGTGGGGCTGCGGCGTTTTCTTCGCCTGGGGCCAGAGCAGTAGCAGGAAGCAGTACCAGGTGCAGCACGGCGCCTGCAGCTACACCTTCCTCCTGCCCGAGACCGAGCGCTGCCGCCCCGCCGCCGCCGTCCTCTCCAACGCCGTGCAGAGGGATGCGCCCCTGGACTACGACGACTCCCTCCAAAGGCTGCAGCTGCTCGAAAACATCATGGAGAACAACACGCAGTGGCTGATGAAGGTAGGAGAGTGGCGATTTCTGTCCCGAAAATCCCCCCTGCCCTACCTTCTTAGCCATTTCATTGCGGTTCGGTTTTTTTCCTGCCTCTAAAAGTCACGGAGCGCCCCATCTAAACTAAATTTCCCAACTACCGCTCAATCCAAAAGTTGTTTGGAAGTCAAAAAACAGAATTTTAGCAAAGAACTGCTGCTCAGAGCCCCTGCTTTAAAGCTTGTTGCATTGGAGTTGCTGGGACAAAAGTAATGCCATGGGCAGGCAGGCTGCAAGCGCCTCAAATCTCTGCCGTGATAGAACCAGCTACTAACTTATAATTAACTACCGAGCTCTTTTATCTCTATTGAAAGACTATAGAACGTACCTTTATCAGAGGCATGTTTGAAAAATGTTATTTGAAACATGGTTTCAAAACTTGCATGCAGAAGTTAACATATTTAAGCCCCACCAATGAAGAACTGTATATCTAAGCAAAGACTGGAAGTCTGACTGGCAATGAAATTAGTCTAGTGAAGTGATGGAACTTCAAGAAATCCATTAGCAGATATCATAGAGTCATAGATTTTATCCATCATAGATCCTTTGCATCTTGTAACATTTCCACTGAAATATACAATACTCAAGGGAAAAATGTTCTGGGAAGGGTGTTGCAGATGTCACAGCTTCCTTGGATGCAACTCCATTGATAGATTTTGATTTAATAAACCTTTACTTCACTTGTACCTGAAAAAGTGTGTTAATATAGTTTAATTGCATAGTAAACTTAGGAGTATTTATGTCCCATACCAAGATGCCCATCTTCTAAGCAATAAATATTTTGAGGACTTAACTTAGCAGTTGACATAGTGTCTCCAAATAAGTGTTCAAGTGACGTCATAAGACTTTTTTTCATAAAGAAAGAAATACTTGTTGAGAATGGAGAGAATTCACAATTGCCTACAGTGAGTAGCCACTTCTTACATGACTATAAAATAATCTTGCATTGGGGTTCCCTTCTCTCATCAGTTACAGAGTTGCAGAACTAGCATGATATACACAAGTCACACCTCAAAGCAGACAGCAGAGTGCTGTCATCTACCTGAAAACGAACCTTGAAGGTTATGAAGGAAACCTGCTAGTGAATTTGTGTGTCAGAAACACAAGTCACCCTTCAAAGCAGACAGCAGAGTGCTGTCATCTACCTGAAAACGAACCTTGAAGGTTAAATCCCAAATGCATCTACCTGAAGGCTGCAATGTGGGCCTCTAAATCTGTCTTTCTGGGTTCAGGATGCTCAATTTAGACATCCAAAAAATGTCAGTTCAGTGGCTTTTGTTTTTTTAATCTCACAGGCAAACATACTTCCCTCCGCATGCTTACCTTTCAACTTATTAATTTACAATGCTGACTATTGTGATGTTAAGACCAACATTAACAGATGTGCAGTGCAGGATGAAAAACACACAAAGTAAACCAGTCTAATCTACCCAGCTGCTAAGCAATTTCCTAACATAAATAGTAAAATCACACACAAGACTCCAGTGCTAAATGCCACTTAAATAGACAAACACAGTATCATAAGTGGCATCAGGTAAATAGAAACCAGTAAGCAAATTCCAGCATCCTTATTTAGTAAAAACTCTGCTTTTTCCTGTCAGTCCCTGGGAAATCAGTTACAAGAGGAGTAGGATAAGTATATCTAAGCCATTCTTTAGGGGATCAAAAGGCAGAGTTTCTATTTTACAAGACAGAGAAAAGTTTCTTTTATTTGAGCGAAGATTTCCAAATAAGATTTTTTTAGAATAGCCTGATTTTTTTTTTCTTAGCTGTGACACAGCTAAACATCCTGTAAAATAACTGCCTTTTTCACTATTTTAACACCTGCTCTTTATCTTTATGTCATCTGTTTTGTTCACAAAGAGACTCCAACAAAAGTAGCTTTTCCTCAGATTTGCTTTGCTAGAGACACCTGGTCTGCAAGTGAAGATGAAAAGCAAACAATAACCTTTAAAGTTGCTTACAAAGTTTACTTGCTGTTTTTTTAAGGTCACTAATACACATTCCTAGGTTCAATTTACGAAAATAGAGAGTACTAGATTAATCAAGACATGAAAAAAAAAAATTGTTCACTTAGTTTTTATACCATATTGAAAGCGCAATATAAGACAGATTTTAAAAATACCCTGACATTAACTTCTCAGCAATTACACTAAAAAACTGCTTTAGGTATTGGTTTTTAATTTTTTTTTTTTCTTATTTAAGAGTCAGCACCTGTTTTGTTTTGAAGTTGTGTAAAAAAAAAATACATTTCAAGCTTTTAGTGTGAATTAACCTTTAAACGTTGTTCCTGAAGTATTGCACATCCCCAGACATTTTTATACTCCTCCCCCCCCTCCTGCCTTTAATCCATCAACTAAAGGAAACATTCCGTTTCTGAATGAACGCTGGGCTGTATGAATGGAACAGATGGGAAGTGTGCGCTTCATCTGCTTAATAGACAAACACAATGGGAAGAAAATGAGTTACGTAGCTCCAGGTTCTTTTCTGATCTGCTCCTGCATAGGGAGCAGAAGACTTTGTTCTACAATTGCTACAAATCGCTGCCTTATGAAAACACATTTTTTTTTTTTTTTGGTCTGAACTTTATTAATGCCTTATGCCACCGCTGTACATACCATACATAAAAATGAATGTCTTTTCAAAAGTAGATTATCTTTAAGCGTTCAGATGACAAATCAGAACAAACCACTATTCCATCTAATCCAGCCTTTAGCAGTAACCCAGTAAGCGATGCTGTAGAGCAAAGGCCAAACCCCTAGATCAACTGTGCAATAATATACCTGAAATGAACTTTCTTCCTTGACTTTCCCTACCTTGGGATCAATTTATATATTGAAGTGTAAGATTATTATTTTTTTTAATGCACATGTGGGCAGGGAGAACAAACCTCTCAATAATAGGATTTTCAGTTAATTTGAGGGGATAGCACGTTGGTGTACACCTAAGGTACAATACGAAATTTTAAATGTATATACATAAGTGAGCTATTATACTTTAGATTTTTTTTTTTAATATAAAACCATCAGGATTTCAGATATTCCTAGAAGATAGGCAGTTCCCCTAAGTTCCGCATTTTTTCAGATTTTAAGCCATTGAAATAACTGAATGCTAACTTAGAAGATAGGCAGTTCCCCTAAGTTCCACAATTGAACAAATCTCTGACTTAATGACAACATTTCTACTCAAGGAACCACATTTTTTTCAGGTTTTAAGCCATTGAAATAACTGAATGCTAACTTGAATTTACTAGTGCATAAACTAGATCCTATGGCTCATGAGCTATGACTCTGTTCAAAGCAATAGTGTAAAAACTTGAATTTACTAGTGCATAAACTAGATCCTATGGCTCATGAGCTATGACTCTGTTCAAAGCAATAGTGTAAAAGAAACAGGTCATATTTTCTTAGTCTTTCCTGTTATAAACAGCTGAAAACAAGGTATGAACAAATTGATTATAGCCTATGGAATACAGGCAATTTATTTGTAATTTATCAGCAGATCAACAGATCAGAAAATAAAAGTTTTTGTCAGGAGTCAACGTTTAAAACTCAGAGCAGAACTTTGTCCTGAAGCATCCCGGCAGACTGGGAGGGGGACACTTTGCTGATAGAGATGCACTATCTTTGGATACTCTGAACTGAGATTTGTTTTTCTTTGTCATGATATCCTGGAAGCTTTGTCACTTTGAAACGTGTTTCTTCCCTTAGCACAACAAAATCAGATGTTTTAAGATATACGGGAATGAATGCTTACAATTTTTGATGAGTAATTACCAATGAAACATTATAATTATTGTCATACTTGTACTGAACTTCATATCTTAAATAGGAAAAGATATTCTGACATGCCATCATCCAAAATCTGCACACAATGGATAAGGACAAATGTATTGTACAGGGCTGGATTATGAAGTACGCAAGAGATGATTCTGACTCTGAATCAAGAGCTGCATTCCTTTCTTAAGTAATGCATCTGTTTTCACTTATTGTGAAAAGTGCTTGTTTCTCTCTATCAACTGTGTATTTGCAAAGCAAAAGACTACTGGCAGGACCTAAAAGAAAATCCTTTTTTCCTTTCAGATTAGTACATGTTACTGGATAAAGTTTCCGTGCTCCTTTAAATGATCTGACTATGCAGTTTATTGTTGAATCTCCTATAAGTAAATTTCCATGAAAGAATTTGAAATGACACTTTTGCATTTGCTTAAAACTTATGTTGTAAAGACTGTTTCTGTATCATTCCACAAAAATTGTGCAAAATAAAAAGAAAGGGATTTTCTTGTACAGATCTACAAGACAAAATTGAAGTTGAGAGCTTGCCTTCTCCAAGATGTTATCAGTAAAAATTGGGATAAACAGAGGCTTGTGTTACTGAACTAGTCTTTTACTAGCATTCAAGATATATTTTCATCTGTTTTGTTTGTTATTAATATGATCACAAACGTATCATCTTTACCTGGCCCAAACAGCAAATTGGGAGACTTTCTCCACTAATTAATGACATCAAATGCTTTGTTCTTCTTCTTTTTTCTCTTTCTTCAAGTGCATATGTGGGAAATGAGCCTGGAGTTGCTTGAGTTGACAGTTTGCATACCCATGTAACGTACAAAACTTAACAGCATAACCTTTAGAATATCTTAGGAACTTTTGCAGAGACTGCGGTTCAGAATGGTGTTTCTTAAATGAAAAAATATCCTGCTACTGTTCCTTTTTTGTTATGAACAAATTCAGTAACGTGCCTCTCCCCATAATTTACCAAGGGAAACAACTGGTATCATTTGCTTGACCTCTAATCACAAGAAACAAGCTATCACGTAGGTATTGCTTAGAATGGAATTTTGCCCAGAAGACCTTCAGTATGAATGACACCTGGTATCTTCAGTGACTGTATTTTCCTGTCCTTTCCATACTATTTGTGGTTTTGAAAATATTACACATTATACATTATTTGATTTACAATACTTCTTT